TGGTACGCACGCCCGGTACGCCTGGTACATGTCACGTTAAATTCTGGTACGGGTCCTTGGTACGCATGGCCGGTACGTCTGGTACATGTCCATGGTACATACCCCTAGACCTAGACCTAGACTCTACCCTAGACTATGACTTGGTTGGTACATTCATTCTGTCATCGTGTCATTCCCTGCAGGTCGCAGAGATTGGAGGATGGCTTGTTCTCCATGGGTCGCTTTCTGCGCTGGACAGAGCGCTAGATGCGGACCCGTGCGCCAATCATAAGTTCTTGGAGCAAGGGGAACGGCTCGTTCAGCAAAAAATAGCCAACCCGGGCACGCGCATCAGTAAGACCAACGACCTTTGTAAGAACGAGAATGCGCAGGTCGTCGAAGAGAAGCGGCAGGGGCTAAGGGCCCCCAAGAGGAAATTTATGACCGTAGAGGCGTACGAAAGGCGGCACGGGCCTGTGGACGCCTCCAAGATCAAGACCCATCGTGTGAATGGGCAAGAGATCCGAGGCGTCGACGTGATGGCAGCGGAGGATGTCGGGGTGTATGAGTACATCGACGAATCCTTGAATTCGGCCCAGCGCATCACCGACTTGGGTAATGAAGAGGGCATCACGTTGTCGGATGAGCAGAACACAGTCATCTTCTCCGCAGCTTCGCAAGCATTGTCAACAACACCGAAGGAGGGGTCATGTGTGGTGCTTCCCTCTTCGTCTTCGTCGTCATCTGATGGCCGGGGACTAGCCGCGATGGGAGGAGATCCTGCAACGGTAGAGCCTGGTACTCCCAAACCTTCCGAGGCGCCTTGCTGCTACTATTATTCACACTCACACCTTACAACTTGCAACTACAACTTACTACAACTCCTGTCTAAGTATTATATTGCTATTGCTATTATTTCTGTGATGATATGTTTTTATTGCTATTTATTTGGACTTTCTACTTTTACCTTTACCTTTACTGTTACTATACAATTGGTAGAGAACCCCGGAATGTTTAGCTATTGCTGAACTGGCTATTATTGTTATTAAAATGGGTTGCCACGGCCACCATCAGCCGCCTCCGCCGATGCCTCCATCACCATGGGGTTGTGTCAGTTGCGTCTCTCCGTTTACTTTGGTCTATAGGCTATAGGTTTGGTCGGGTCGATGGGCGTATAAGAAATCAGATAGGGTGGCCTAGAGTAAAAGGTTGTCGGGCTCGAGGCTCTAGGGATGTCTCCTGTGGCTGAGGTTGCTGATGGCGATAGTGACAGCGACGGCTACCAGCCATTTGCTTCGCTGTTTGCCCGCCTCAAGCCCATCAATGCACAGCCCAAGGCAAAGCAAGCAGCTCAGCCGAAGCCGAAGTCGAAGGCGAGGGCGGCTACCAACAAAGCTAGCAGCAGGGAGTCCACAGCCAAGCAGCCGCGTGTGGTCGTTGACCCAGACACCATGCAATCAGATGACAAGGAGATTGTGAACAAATTTAGTCCGCTTGTGATCCAGTTGAAGGTCTTGGATCCACCCAGTCACGACGAGGCAGGGTTCACCAAATGGTCAAAGGAAAGGGTGCAGGCGCTGCAGGATTTGAGGAATCAGATCTATACAAAGTACAAGTCCTTGAAGCGTCGCAAAGATACATCCGTTGAGCTTACCTCTTCACTTGAAGCGACGCTCGATGACCTCGCAAGCCTTTCAGAGCTTCTTCGCAAGCTTGCTGCGGGCAATCCAGAGGGCAAGCACATGTACGAAAAGCTGGAGCAAATGGACGACGTCCAAGCATGCCCTGCAATTTGGTTGAGAGCTGTCAGGGCAGCCGCTTTCGAAGACCTCAAGTTCATGCACTTTCAGCAGTTCTTCGTGCAGACCCACAGCCTTTGCAAGAAGCATGATAACCAGGAGCCAGGTTTCTTCCCGATGCTTGCGTCTCAGCTCCTCCAGCGGCTTGTCAAGGCGCTCCAGCTGCCGAAAGGCGGTGTTGTCGTAGCGGAGACCGTTGGGAACATTAAGAATTTTGTTGATGTGATGGTTGACGAAAGCCACATCCACAAGACACAGCCCGACGACATCCCCTTGGACAAGCATACGGAGGTGATGTTGAGCCTGAAGTCAATTCTGGATTTCAGCTCGCCGCCCAAAGTTGTGTTGAACTCATTGCAGATAATCAAGTCGAGCTCACAACATTGGGCTGCCATGGTGTTTGTTCTGCCACAGGGCAAGAAGATCATTGAGGCAGCGTCGTTGAACGCAACGAACAAGGAAAGCCTGGAAGGTGTCCTTGGTGTGCTGAAGAATGCCGACTCGTTCTTGCATAAATCAGGCTTGTGCACCATCAACGCTGCCTTCAGCGTCGGCTTGAAATCTTGCTTTGATGGAGATCATGGTGATCAGATGTCGGCTTTGCTTTCAGACCTCTCGGCCAAGGAGTTCAAGGTCTTGAAGGGGGCAGACAAGGATAAGCTGAGTCGTGTCCAGGCGCTCAGCCACCGTGCCGTAGAAGCCATTGTGTTTGCGGCAGTGCAGCATGATGTCATCCCTTACATGAGGACCTTGCTCTCTGGGATTTCCAACGGCGATGCCATTGATACTGGTATCATGATGCTCAATTCGGAATCGGCTTTGCTTCACCTGAGCGACAAATGTGGGCATGGGCAGGAAGTTCTTCTTGAGCGTTTCAAGGACCTGAGTGACTTCGCAAACTCCATGGTTGCAAAGCTTTGTGGGTCCGCGCCGGAGCTTCTCAGCGATCGTGATGTTCGCTCCTTGCACTTCACATGGGGAATCAAAGCAACCCTTTGCGCCGATGCGCTTGGGACTTGCGCGTCGAAAGCCCAGGAAGCTTGCCCGGATGCAACTCAAAACGTGCAGGAGCTTCTGTGTCAGTTCCAAACCACGACAAAAGAAGTTGACGAAGCCATCAAGGCATGCCTGAAGAACCACTTGACGGACAAATCCCACGCCGGTGTTCAGGAGTGCTTTGCAGCCTTGATGAAAGTGGTTCGCTCGAATGGGGCGGATGTCAGCGACGATGCAGTCCAGGACTTCCGGAGCAAAAGTGAGAGTGCAGGGTTGGTGTCCACAGTTTTGGGGGAAGAAGAGGGTGCGATTGTTCGAACAGCCATTGAGGCAGCGTCGCTGCTCTTCAGTTGTGCAGTGGAGTACGGCGTGCATGTCGCAGATGTAGCAGCGAGCACCAGTGGCCATGTTCAGACGCTGGAGTTCATCAAGCACGAGCTCAAGCTCTCACAGGTTGATTGTGTGGGCGCAGTGCAATCGCTCCGGGCAAAGGTTCAAGTTGTTGATGACGGCGATGTGTCATGCATGCAGTCCTTGATGGATGCAATGAGGAAGGTCCGCGAGACCGAGTATGGGCAGATTGTTCATGAGTGTCATGCTGATTTGAACTCGGCTTTCGTTGAGGATGCCGTGGTGGAGATTCCGGAGGACCTCGCTAAAATCGACACGTACGAGGGCATCACCAAAGCCTTTGATCAAGTGCGGCAGCATTTCAGTGTTGCGGCAACGAAGGACATCTCGCAGAAAGCTGAGGTGCTTGAAAATTGCATTCGGAACGCCAAGAAGGTTGCCGAGATCATGGATGTCCCGGTTGAGAACGTAGTCAACTTGGCCAAGTACGAGGCATCTTACAGATCCATGATCAGATGGTTGGTCACGGGGAATGTCTTCGTCTGCTTGCAGAGCAAGGCTGTGACCAGGGCGTGGCAGTCAGGGACAAAGATTCAGCAGAAGGCCCTTTCTGCGCTGCAGAGTGCTGTCAAGACTGCTTCTGACTATGACACGGAACTCCCAGCAGGCATCCAGGCTGTTGTGACCAAGGTCACGCAGATGAACGAAGTTGTGAAGCCGGCCATGTGAACAAACGAATCAGAACACACATCCTCTCTCAAGCCATTTTCGTGCATGCCTAGTAGCCACTGTCATTGAGAAATGCACATAATGCAAGTGACAAGTGACATGAACAAATTCGTTTAGCCAGCTGGTGTTCGTGCGACCCCGTACACAGGTAGGCACTAGTCATCAGCGATATGTCGACTCAGGCGTACGGGCTTGGAGTCTACGGACATTGACATTGACATTATCATTTATCATTGATCATTGATAAATATTTCTACTACATTGGAATCATTGGAATGCGGATAGCGGATATGTAACTGTAGGAGGTTGCACGCTCTCCGGCTGGCTGCAGCTTGACTCTGGCGGGCGGCATTTCGTTGCCGCTCGCTGCTATGATTTCCACGGGCTTTCAAAAGCTTGGAAGATGCTGTACAGTAGCATGGTACCATACTAGACTGGAAGTGATGTGTCGGAGTCCTGAGCCATCTGGCTTACGCACTGCCTTGGGTGGCATCATCGTGCCAGGTTCCGTTCCAATCTTGGGTTCGGGATGTCCAGCGCACACATTGCTTTACTTTGACTTTGACCAAATTCGATCGGCTTCTGGCGGCTTCTGCGCACTTTTCAAGCTGCTGCTCATGAAGCTGCTGCTGCTCATGCATGTAGACATAGTGATCGGAGTCAAGACTAGACTAGACTAGCTAGAATCAGAGAAGACAAGGGGAGAAAGAGTTGCCGTTGCGCTTGGAATCTGGCGTTTGGCAGTCGGTGCGTTCCAGACTAGTTGCGGTTGTTGAGCAGACCAAGGCTAGTTGACAGGCAGCAGTTCGTTTCAAGGACTCGTGATGAGTGATGAGTCGTGACAGGATTGCGTTGCAATTAGCGGTTGCAACAAGCCATGACATGCATTGTAATATGTAATTTGTAACTTTTGTAACTGTAAAATTGTAATGTGTGATCAGATAGTCTAGAGAGTCTAGAGTCTAGGCTACGGCTACTACGTCGCAGCCATGGGTGTCATCCCTTCTAACAGCTCAACGTTGCATCGCTGAGCTTGTTGCGCCATGGCTCCCGGAAAAAAAAAGAGCCTGGACCTGCTGCTTCTGATGTTCCAGTCCCAAAGACGAAGGCGAAAGCCAAAGCCAAACCAAAACCGGCAGCAACGCCGAAAGCGAAGCCGCCAACGAGGTCGAAACAGCCGAAAGCTGCTCGGGCGTCCACAGCTGCGGATGCCGCAGTGACACAGCCCCTAACCTTTTGGGGCGGCAGCGGCAAACATGTGGCCAACAAGCGACAGAGGACAGATGCAGCAGCTGGAGCATCTGCAGATGGCGCAGGTCAGGAAAGAACAGACAATGCAAGGGCCTCTTGCGACGGTCCACGTGTAGCTGATGCTGATGCTGACACAGTAGTTGCAGGGCCACTGGAGTTCGAGTTGTCTTCTGGTCAGCTAGTCACAGAAACAGACATGATTGCAGAGCTGGAGAAGCAGCTGGCAGAGCCTGCGGCAGTGCCGTCGGTTGACCCCAGCAGCGCCAGCCACGTTGACGGTGCCAGTGCCGCCAGTGCCGCGGGTGGTTCTGGCTCGGAAGAGGTTGTCCACAACAGCGGTGAGTCCAACGCCGATCACGACCACTCACGTGACTCAAGTGACTCAAGTTCAAATTCAAGTGCAGTCAGACCCGGGCCAAGTCATGGTTCAGGACAGCTGCGCAGCTTATGAATGCCCCTGCTTGAGGAATAGCCCTATACAGCCTATACACTAATGATACGTGCCTTCTGACTTGCATCGTAGTTAGTAGTTAGTAGTAGTTAGTAGTCATTGGCTATTGGGTCAATCGTGTGACATGAATCAAAATCTGTGCTCGATGTGTATGGGAACTCGGGGAACTGTAGTTTTGCCAAGTTCTGTCAGTAAGGGTACTACGCTAGTCACGTTATTTATATTCGGTTTTGTGTTGTGTTTTCGGTTAGTAGCCGTGGCAGTCTAATCTAGTAGTTGTAGGTGTAGCCTGCGTCGTAGTTGCGTATAATCGTCGTATTAGTGGTGAGCAGTAGTAATAGTATGTAATAGTCATAGTCATAGTCATAGTCATAGTATAGTCCTAGCGGGGGGGGCTCGGGTCTAGGTCCCAGGTGCTTCTGCTGGTACTGGTGCGGCTGGCTGCTGCTGCTGCTGCTGCTGCTGCTGCTGCTGCTGCTATTGGCTGGCAAGTCCTGAAGGTCAGGCGCTGGTGGCGGAGCGGTGGTGGTGGCAGGGTGGCAGGGGCGGCTATGGCAGCGGCGGTGGTGTTGAGTTCTTTTCTTTTGTGTGCGAGGACAAGGAGATGGCCTCGAGAAAATGGATGATGAGTCGCGGGCTCTGCGAACCTTTGATGAACTAGCGCAGGAGCCGCAACTGCATGGTCTAGGCACGTAGTCTGTGGTTTGTTGTAGTCTGTAGTCTGTTGAGTCTGTAGTATAGTATATGACGAGTCACGGTTTATAGTTTATGGTTTATAGTTATAGTCTTATAGTCATAGTCATAGTTGTAGTTTACAGCAGTTTATAGTTTGTAGTCTAGTCACTAGTCTATAGTCTATGTCTATTGTCTAGTCTGGCCCCTCGTAGTGGCAACTGTTCTAGCGGTGGCAGATGTTCATAGGAAGAGCAGTAGGGAATAGTAGCCATTGGTAGTGGTGGTGTGGCCTTGGTCCCAGTAGTGGTCCGCTGCCAGTGGGGGATAACAAGGATTCCGCAAATTTTTGCAGGACCAGTTCAACCGACTACGTCAGCATCTTCCGCTAGGAACGTTGGATGCGATGGTGAACAGCCTGCCTTCCAATGTGACATTGTTTTCAGCGTGCAGCGGAAGTGGTTCATTCGAACTCGCAGCGCGGGCGGCTGTGGACGCGATTGCTGGCCGGGGATCTCATGAGATGGAGGTGTTCTGGCTTCAAAACGATTTTTAAGCAGTGCCTTGTTCACCCTCTCGTGTCGGAGTTGTGATTGGATTGCGTGCAAATTCAAAAATGAAATTGGAGTCGTAGTCTACTACCACAACCTAGTGTAGTCGTATTTAGTTACCAGACTAGCTATGGCTGTAGGCTACTGTAGGCCATAGGCTATAGCCTATAGCCCTAATAGCCAATGTAGTAGTGGTAGTGGTTGCAATTAGACAGTTAAATTATGACGACTATAGTCTATAGTCAGGCTATAGGACTACAGGCTATAGCCTATAGCCGCCCAGTGCATCTCAACGTTCTCTGCTGTGTGTGCCGATACTAAGGTTGACGTATCTTTTGTCTGTGAAATCACGCCTTTCAAGCAGAAGTTCCTCATGAGTCAAGTTACCTGCGAGTTCGAGGAGATGTGTCTGTCAACATGCAGCATGTTCACAATTGCTCCGCTATTCGTTTGAATATCAAGTTCAACCCTCATCTGTGGTCAGGACTGCTGTGTCTTCCAGGATATCACAAAGCTCAAGGACGACCAACAGCGTGTGTGTGCAAAACACAAAGCTAACTGTGTTTCTTGGTTTCATCGTTTGCGACTGGTGATTTCTCCACGTTGCGTATCAGAGATGTGAGTCATATGTGTTGAGTTTTTTGAGGCTGTGAAAATTCCAGGAGAAGACAGCCTTTCTTTCTTTGGCGCAGGGTTCTCATGCAAGTGGCTCTGAGAAAGCATTCTGAGATTTCGTGACCTATGTTTCCAGCCACAATCTAGTGCTTGTGGAATAAGGTCGTTCAGCCGAATGAACAATGATTATGAAACCTTGCAGCGTGCTATGGCAGAGGGGATGGTTCTGAGCTCAGGGTCTCAGAATCTCACTCACAATGACACGCAACGGACGCAACGCATAATGCGCAAGGATTGCTCATCGGTGGCCACTTTCAAGGGTGTGTGTGACACGCTGTCGATCTGCCGACCGATGCTATTTCTTCTTGAGAATGTTGATTCTCTGGAAAGCAGTGATGATGATCGAGAGTCGCAGGGCCTCGCAAATATGGTCAGTCACAGACCGTGACCGTGAATGTCAGTTCCAGCCTCCGGCTGGATTCCAAGTTTCGTTTCGTTTCGATTTTGATTCTTGAAACTTTGAGTTTTGAATCTGAGGAAGGCCTCATCTTCCAACTACGCGTTGATCCTCGAGCATCTGCAAAAGTTGGGGTACGCAGTTGTTGTCCACAAGCTCCGGGCACACGAATATGGGCTGCCACAGCGACGTGTCAGACTGTATTTTTTCGGCGTGCGTCAAGATTGCCCTGATCTTGCTGAGCCGGCGGAGACTATTCTAGCCAGGGTGGCCGGTCGACTGGAACTGATGCGCCCATCCGAGATGCTGCCTCCAGTCGCTTTGATTTCAAATTTAATACAAGCTGGTCACTGGTAACTGGTAGCTCTGACTCTTGTGATTCCTATGATTTCTTGACATGTTGGGAGGGGATAGGCGGGTGGTCTGGTTCCTTCGCTACATGACTGCACGACCAATCACAAGCTTGCAATTTCACATATTTCAAATCAGGAATTGTTATTTGCCAGTTTTGGTTTTGGCCCAGGTTAAGGTCGCTGAGGCCGTGCTGGGTATTTAGCATGAAAACTAAGCCAAAATTCGAGAATCGGAAGTCCTAAGTTCCGAGTTCCTCTATCCTTGCAAGAACCAACGAAAAAACCATCAGCAGCAGCAGCAGTAGTAGCAGTAGCAGTAACATCCAGAATCCAGAGTCCAGAGTGCGATTCTCGTGGTGTGGGGCAATGTGGTGTTGCAGCAGCGAAGCCCAATGTGTAGTAGTCTGCAGAACACAGTGCCTTCAAGTCACGTTCTCATTTTAGGTTTTAAGTCTTAAGTCTTAAGTATAGGTTTATATAAGGCGGCTATAAGGTATATTTTCTAATTCGATTCTAAATTCAAATTCTAACTACGGAATGATTGATGCTGCCCGCTGCTGCTGCTGCTGCTGCTGCTGCAGCTGGTTGCCGCCGCTGCAACAATCAACTCTGCAAGCGCCGCTGCCGTTGAGCCAACGCATTCCGATCCGGCTAGAACTGCTCCCTTTAAATTACTGTGCAAGGTAACTGTAACTTTAGCTGTTGCTGATGCCATTGCCACGACCACCACGACGACAATCAATTACCACCACTATCCACTATCTAATCTAAAGTTGGTTTAGCGCAGGATCGCTTCCTGTTCGCTAGTGACGACCAGCGGCTGAAGAGCGAGCTGGTTCGCTTGTCGACGATGAAAGTTCGTGCAGCAGCAGACAACGCAGTGGAGAAAGCCGAGAAGGGCGACAAGTGGAGGGACATGCATAGCTCCATGGCGGAGCAGTGTGGCTTGGCTGTGTCAGTGCAGGTTGAAAGAACTAGATGAGAGTCACATGAGAGCTCAGCGTGCACATTTTGGCAAGACGAATACACAAATTGGATGGGAGGGTGGGGGTAATTTGACGGGTAATACAAACTCAGATGGCGTGCAATGGCCACTCGTGCAGCCGGAGCACCTCCGACGATCAGAGTGGTTTCAACTACTTTCTGCTCGCGAGCAGGAGGTGCAACCATGACTCCTACATCCCAAGTCCCAAGTAGCAAAACTATGAATGTCAGTGCCATGCAGTGATCCCTGCTCAATCCCTGGATGTGCAACATGTCTGCAGGCTGTGTGCTTCGTGGAGGTCTGGAATGATCGGCGCGCAAGCAATCGCATCAACTATGTGGACATCTCCCAGAGCGTGTCGCGCATGGCAAAGAGCACCGAAGAAAGCGAAGCGGCTTGCTAGCTTTGTGACTTTGTGACTTTGTGTGCTGGTTTCTGCAAATGCAAACAGTGTGGCAGAAGCCAGAAGCAGACGATTCCGTAGTAGTTGTAAGTAAGTTGGAATTGTGACTTATCACCCTATCCCCCCTATCCTATCCGTTAGCCCTGTGTTGATCTCCTCCATAAACCTTATGCCCTAACATCCCTAAACTAAACTGTAACTGTAAATGTAATTGTAACTGTAACTTAGGGTTTAGGGTTTAGGGTTTAGGGTTTAAGTTTAGGGTTTTAGGGTTTAGGGTGACTGTAACTGTAACTCTGTGTCTGTAACTCCTAAACTGCTCCAGACTCCAAACTTGCATCCCAATGAGTTTATGAGTTCATGACCGTTTATGATTCATTGTGTTTCAGCTTCCGCCAGAACACCATTTGCGGAACAATCCAAGGTTGTGCCAACGATTCTGCCGCAGAGCAGGCTGTGGAGCACGAAGCACAATCGCTGGCTCTTGGGTTACGTGACGCTATGACATGATTTGCTGTTGCGAATCTTGCTATCTGATGAATCTGAAGCCTGAAGCTTCGCTGTGGCTAATCAATGTTCCCCAGCTAGCCCTCGACTCAAAATTTTCAACTTCAACTTCAACTAAGGTTCTGAATTGATGGCCCTCCAGGGCTATGACACCAGCTGTCTTCCTGGTGGCGGAGTGCTGGAGATGAGTGAGCACCAGCTCGCAGATCTCGCAGGGAACGCGTTTCTCGCCAAATTGGTCCAGATGTTTCAACAGGCATCATCAATCATCACGAATCCCAATAACAAAGCTGACTCATCAAATCTCACCTTGTCATCATCCGAGGTTTTCCGTGAACTGCGCTATGGCAGCCATTTTGGCACTGCTTACAAGCTTGCGGTTCAATACCGAGAGTGAGGATGAAGAGCTGGACCAGATCACTTCTTCGTCGCTGGGCCGCTGAGATATTGTAAACCAAACAAAAATTGAAAATTGAAACTATTGAGCTGAGCAAATTGAGTACTGTAAATACTGTGCTGCGCTGAGGATTCCTCCGCGTCGGGCATGATGGGGCTCTGACGGGGTTTGGATCCAGCAAGTGCAGCGCGAAAATCCAGTTGTGTCGCAGGGTTGGTTGGGTCATGGAGTTGACCAAGCCGTGTTAGAGACTTCATCATCAACTGAACCAATGGTACTTGATAGTATCTATTATTAATCTATATACCGTACCCATTGTCCCAGGCGCCCGTCCCAAATAGCCGTACCGTACCTTAACCATGTCCCATGTGTACGTCCCAAGCCGTCGTACCGCTGGATCAGGCCCCCACATAGGCGACAGAGCATTACTCTCCAGGTTTCATAAGTTTAAACCCTAAACCCTAAACCCTAAAGGTTTAGGGTTTAGGGGTTTAGGCTCCCCAAACACTAGGGTCAAATCTAAGGATCCGTCCCAGAATCACCTGGAAGGTCGGGATTCATCTCCAGAATTTAAGGCTTAGGGTTTAGGGTAAGGGGTTTAGGGTGTAGGGGTTAGGGGTTTAGGGGTTAGGGTTTAGGGTTTAGAGCTTAAAATTCTGGATTATGAGGTGGGGCATTCTCAGAACACGGGAGCCTGTAGGAAGCTGACAGGGAGGTCCTGGAGGGTTGCAACCTGCTTTAATAATCCCTTTCGTACAATCCCCAAAGTACAAATGGGTTAGGGTTTAGGGTGTTTTTTTAGGGTTTAGGGTTTAGGGTTTAGGGTCCCTTTTGTACATTCCCCAAGTACAAATGGATAAGACCTTTAAGTACAGACATTCAGAAGGACCACCGCGGGCTCCCAATAGTGTAGGCATTCTGTTGGGGTAATCTTTGAAAACTTCATCCCATTCAAGGACTCCTATCAAAAACCCACTTCAATAATCGTTTGAGGTACCATGTTGGGGGCTCTACTTTCTACAACCTCTCAAACCCTTAACCCAAAACCCTAAGTTAGGTTTGGGAAACTTTGTGCCCCAGTCGGCGGCGACGCGACTGACACCTTCTGACTGGTGCTCAAGGGAGAGCTCTGGACTTACTCCTCTCATGGTGTTTTGTGCTTTTAGGGATTTGGGTTTTGGGTTTGGGGTTTAAGGTTTAGGGTTTAGGCCTTAAGGTTTAGGGCTAAAGATTAAGGATTTAAGGTTAAGGGTTCAGGCCTGAAGGTTTAGGGCTTATACCTAAATTGCCTCCCCCGCGTTCCTTCCGGCCCTAAACCCTGAGTCCAGAACCCTGAATAACATCTGAACATGCATTTTCTTCTTCATCCCCACTCTCCCTTGAGAACTAGTAAACCTCTCAGCGATGCTTGCTCAACAGGACGAGATGATGGAAAGCAGCATCAAAGTCAACCTCGCACAGTATAGGGTTGAGGGTATAGGATAGGGCTTGGGATTCAGACTTTGGGGCTGTGATGTTTGGATGCTATGGACATTCCTTCTGAGTTTAAGGCTTGGCGCTTCGGGTTTGGGGTTTAGGGCTTAGGGTTTAGGATGTAGGGTTTAGGGCTTGGTGCATGCTTCGTTGTAGCTTTTTATTGCTGAAGGGCTACAGAGCTCAGGATTCTGGCATGGCTGCAGGAATCTTGCACTACTGGAGAACCCCATGGTTCAGGGTTCAGGGTATAGAGTAGAGGGACCCGTACTGCAATGGGAACTGCAACATAGGAACCCAAACTTAAGGAAATCCACATGTCCTGAAATCAAATCAATTTAGGACGGACAATCGTATTTCTGGTGTGTGGTAAGCTGTCAAAATTATGGTGCCCGATTGGGTCCCTAGTAGGCTACAGCACCTCTTGTTTAGTTACCTCAAGTGGGGACTGCAATGTCAACACCCCTGCTGTCCTAAACCCTAAACCCTAAACCCTGCAAGATTGATGGAAAGGGCCCCTTTTATATGCAACTTGGGTCACTCCCTTGCAGCAACAATTACTACAGAAAAACTGCTTAGAATGAGGCATCCCGTCTGCTTCCCCGGTGCTGGTTGTTTTATATACTTGCTTTTGAGAAACTTGTATAACATGTCGGCAGTAAGTCAAGTTAGAATCAGGGATCCCATTTGCTTGCTAGAGTCTTGTTCACAATGTATGAACAAAAACAACCTACGGAAAGTCTAGCTAAGATTTGGGATCTCCTTCATTTACTAGACTTTGCTCGCCTCTGAAGTCGTTCAGAAAGGAATTTGACTTCACAAAGGAACTTAAGGCAACTCTAACAACAAAGCTATGATTAGACATCACCTCTCTTTCCTGGTCCATTTATTAAACAGCGAACTAGGATGCTGTTGCTTTTCTATGCTTTTAAAGAACGGTCTTATGGGCAGCCCTATCTACTCCTTTCAAGACATACCCTGCGACTGTGAAATAGTTGTTCCGGCCGTGGGAATTTTACCATCAGGGGAGCGCGTTCTTATATTAGAGGGAAGTGATTCAAAATGAGACCGACGAACTGACGACACCAGCAGCAGTGGCGGTTGCAGTAGCAACAAGGATACAAACAATCATCATGCTAAAGATCTTAAGACGAACAGGAAATGAAGACAACAGTAATGGTTCAAATAGTAATAGCCAAAGTCATCAGGAATGCGAGCCGTAAACACAAAAATGCAAATAACTGTTAAGCCGGTCTAGCGTACCAGCCTAAGCCCACTAGTCACAAGCCTGGATGTATGTAGGTTGTTCCAAGCCTTTCGGCGCCCAAAAGCCCAAATCCCAAAAGGCCTGAGCCTCATTTTGACCCTAAAGCCTGTACTGAGCCACAGCGCTAGGGCTTAGGACTTAGGAGCTACGGTTGACAGTTTAGGGATTTGAGGTTACAGCCCACTAGATATATTAGTCACTGCTTATTCAGAATTGAGGGAACAGTCACCATATAACTCTGCATAATCAACCCCCATTACCTACAAAGCACCATGACATTCTGAAAGATCAACATGCCCTAGGATCCCAAGGACAAGAAACTAATCATGCATTTCATGTGAAGTCATTTGCCCCTGCATCTTGCTCGCTGCCTCCCTCCCTCCCTCCCGCCCTCCCTCATAGCATTCAGCCCTTCCACCCACCCGCAGGTGGTACACCCAGAACACCTTAACCCCAAGGTCGGAACCCTCGCAGTCGCAATAACCACAACAGCAGCTATCGTAGCAACAACGAAAACAATAACAAAAAACAGCGGCAGCGAATGTCATGACAAATTTGCTGATGGTGCAAATGACAAAATGCAGAAAAGACTGAACCCGAAGGCAACAAAGTGTCTCAGAAAGATGGCCGTAGAACCCCTTCCCTCAAGCCTAAACGCTAAACCCTTCAGGTTTCTGATAACCCTAAACCCTAAACCCTAAACCAACAAAGCCATGACGCAGAAGCCACCAGGAGCGTCTCCAGGCTGCAAAACTCAGGCTGGCCTGCATCTTATTCCCAAAGGTTTAAGGGTTTAGGGTTTAGAGTCTAGGGTTTAGGGTTTAGGGTTTAGAGTCTAGGGTTTAGGTTTTAGGGTTTAGGGTTTAGGGTTTAGAGTCTAGGGTTTAGGGTTTCGAGTCTAGGGTTTAAGGTTTAGGGTTAAGGGTTTAGGGCACCCCCTCCTTCCAGCAATAACCCCCTCCCACCTGCAGCCATAAACATTCCCCTGACATAAGCCTACTTTTTGGATTGTGGGCGAAAGGGTAAGCGGGAAAGATGTTCATGGTAAAACTTGTCCCAAACACCCATAATCCCTTAAACCCTTAACTCTAAATAGTAGCTTCCATTTACTTTTCAAATATCCCGCCAAAGTCTTTGAATAATCATGCCGCGGCCTGGGCTGCAATATCCTTGGCCATCCAGGAAAAGAGTCATGGGGCCCGTTCCCTAAAACCCTAAATCCGAGACCCCAAAACCCTAAACCCAAAAGAGCGGAGTATCGGGGCTTCCTTCATCATCACATGGGGATTCGTTTTTGAAAGAAATTCGTCTGAGGTGGATGGTTGGGCGTTTCAGGTTTGCAGTTTAAGGCTTCCAGTCTAGCGTTCGGGGCTAAACGCTGACAGAGACTGGTTCATTGTGTCTGATGCAAAAGATTCCCAAGCTCTGAAACCACAGATTGGAACGATACATGTGAGCTTTATGCTAGAAAGTCCTGGAAAACATCACAAAGTCGAGCAAGAGCCTAAAATGCTGCTTATCTTAACAAATGCTGAAAGAACTTACGGTGTTAGATCGTTGAGCTTCGAAGAAAGGAAAGTTCTTGAGCATCTAGTGCAGGCTTTGCGGCAAGTGCTAAGGGTTCAGGCTTACGAAGTCTTCCAACAAGACGGCTTCGACAGACTTATCGCAAATTACAAAACAGTTAGCTCTTACTCCAGTTTGACTACACCCTGTGAAGTGAGAGGATTTAGCACACCGAAACCCATCACACTGATACCTTACGGTCGCAACCTTAGCAAGTGGGGAGCTTCTTTTGGGATTAGCGCGCGTGCTATCATCAGGAAACATGTATACCCAGACTTTGCTGATGGAGACAACCCCTCCCTTCCTCTGCCAACAAAGGCCCCCGCACCCTTAAGTATATATTAGGTGGACCCCCCACCCAGTAATAGTGACTATAAGGGATAATAGGGATTATATTAGGGTCCTCTTGTATCATTATTATACCACTATTACAAGGTGGGGGGGTCCTCCTAAAATATATAAG